AGACCCCGGCCCCCTCCGCGGCGCTGGAGGACAAATCGAAAGCGAACCTTCTGCGGCATGGCGCCCCGACTGCCCTTCCCCGCGCGGGGAGCGCCCTCGGGAGTCCAGGGTCCCCCACAGCCCTCACCCAGCCCCGACCCTCGCCTCGGAACTGACTCGATGACAACCCCGCAAACGTTTTCGGGAGCTTAGCTTGTGCTGTGCCAGATGTCGGAGGGGAAAAACATCAGGGCGACAGTGGCTGCTCCCCGTTTGTCAGTATTCTTAGCGCATCTCCTCCTTCGTCTTCCCCCTCTTCCTCTCTTTTTTAACTTCAGTATCGTGATTTTTGGGAAAGACTCCTGAACCGCCGTTGCCCCTGCCTCGGGTACCGGTCCTGCTGCTGGGCCGTCCAAATCTGGACGGCTTCTGTTGGTAAATGCTGGTCATTGTAAAGAGGTTTTATAAACACTCAGGTGAAGCTAGTGATCATTAATTTTGCATAGGTTTGTTTTCCTCTAGAAATAGCAAGTACTGATCCTGATATTTTACCGAAAAAGATTGGGAAGGTGATTACGGGAGGACCCAGACATCAGAATTCCATTTCTTTTTCCTTTTGGCCCTTTGAATAAAGCAGTCTGGACGGAGGAGAATGTTCCTGCAGGAAAGTGGCAGGAAATACGTTTGGAAAGCTACCTTAAGAGATGAGTAAACAAGCCTAGAGAGATTGCGTGCCTTGGTCCCAGTCACATAGGTTCGCCACAGCCCACACTAGCTTCCAGATCCCCTTTCAGCTTGCCCAGGATTTCTGCGTGAGGCAGTTGAGTTCCAAGCTAAGGACCTTGGGTTTTATTCTTCAGACAGGACACTGATGAATCAGTGAAAGGTTTTTAAACATCATTGGTGAGGGAGATGGTGTGTTTTAGGAAAACCTTCATACGCAGGACTGGAAAATGGGAGAGTAGAGGCAGTTAAGACCCTATAAAGGGCCGTGGAGGTTATCCAGCTGTGAGAGCCTAGACTAGCCTGGTAGAGTTTACAAACCCAGGAAAAAGTATCTGACCAAATAAAATATGCAAATGATCAAGAAATTCACAGAAAAAGCTGGTTCCTCGTCATAGTTTCTCCTGGAACAGTGGAAGACCAGTACCAAACTACCTGTAGCTGTTTCACATTTTTCTACAGAATTGCAGGTGTATTGAACTTGAGCAGATGATTTAAAGGCATCATCTGGTGTTTAACCTGTTGTAACATCTGTCACATTTTATTTTGCTCATTTACTCTGTCTTCCTCAGACTAAGCCCTGGAAGGTAGACCTGTACCTTCGGCATCTAGCAGAGTACTAGGTCCCTAAGAAATATTTGGTGATTAAATGTTTTATAGTATGCGTGCACAGGGCGACCGTTCACCGGTGCCAAATGCACGAGTCTTTGTTTTTGTTTGGTTTTGTTTGACGCCATCCTGATTAGATGCATCTATTTTCCACAGGTAGTAAGCACCCTCTTATAGAAATCGCTTTCTGAAATCCCTTTTTTTCTTAGCCTCTGTGACCAGTCTATTGTAGCTGTTCTGTCAGTTCTTAATCCTTTTTCTTTGAACTCCTTCCTTGTCCTGAAGGAATATATTCCCCAAGACTCTGTCCTCAACTTTTTTATTCTGTGCTAATCCTTGCAGCCTGAGGGAAGGTAAATGAGAGTAGATCTGACCCGGAGGCCTTCGGGGCTCTCCATCAGGTTCGGAAGGGAACCGAGTTCCTTTCCACGTTTAAACCTTGTCATTTAAAGCCTTTTTCTTCTGCCTCGCTCTCGTGATCCTTTGTATTTTTGTGCCTTTACCCATGTTCTTTTTTTCCGGGAATGCCTTTCAGTCTGACAGCATTCAGGGGTAAGTGAGGACTCCCTCCCACCCAGACATGATATTATTTATTCACCGCCCCTATATGTCCCTGTAGCATGGTGTGGGTGCGGGTCTCCTTGCGGCTGTCTGGACTGGGCTCGTTGAGGTCAGAGACCTTTCCTCTCTAGCGCTTAAACCACGTCTGGTACGCAGCTGTTCAGTGTGGGCGGCCTTTTGAATTCGTTTGTATTTACTAGTGTTCTTCGTTTGTGTCGCAGAACACCAGAGGACTTGGATCCCAGCTGAAGGACAGTGTTCCAGTTACTGAGCTTTCAGCAAGCGGACCTTTCGAAAGTCATGACCTCCTTCGAAAAGGGTATATGGGGGCGTCGTGCCCTTGGCTTTGTTATAATAAAATGTTTCTGGGAGTTATTTTTCACAATATTCTTGAAATGTTTTGCTAGGCCATAAGTACGTATTTAATTTTGGAGCTGTCGAGTCATATACCTTAGACTGGGGGAGGCGAGGAGCGAATCTTAAATGTTTTCTATTGCAGGGGAAGCGTCTCGTCAGCAGCAGGTTCCCAGGATAGGGCACCTTCCTAGGGGACCTTACTCAGTAGCATGACTCGGTGGCATTCTTCACTTTGCTACTGATGACTTGGAGAGCCCTTATCTCCTCATTATTGGAGTCCTCCGCTTTTGGGGGGAGGCGGCGCTGGAACGTAGCAGTTAAGAGCGTGGACTCTGGGCTTGGGCTGCCTGGGTTTTCATCCTGGCTTCGCTGTTTTCTAGATGTATGCCTTTGGCAAGCTATTTAACCACTCTGTGCCTCAGTGTCCTCATCTGCGAAATAGGGCTGTTAATAGCATCTATCTTATTTTGAGGAATAAGTGAGTGAATACATGAAAACTACTTAGAACAGTACCTGGCGTCTTTCAGCACTCAGTAACTATTAGCTGCTAGCATCTTCCATTTCTAGGCTCAGCACAGTTACACCTCTCCCTCCATTTCTTTTATATTTAGGTGTCAGTTTCTGATACTGGTTCTATGTCTTGGCAGGTGGCCTCTTTGCTTAATCAATCAAGGATAATGCCACTCCCCCTCACCCCCCCCAACACACACACACACACACCCGGCCTCATGAACATTCCGTGTTTTGAACTTTTGAATTTTATATCTAATTTTAAGGTGTTTAGGTCTTAACTGTAAGAGAATGTCATTTAATGGTATCTGGGGACAAACATAATGCCTCATCATTGTCTTTCCATTTTTTGTAGTAAAAGATGCAGCCTTTGGAATTGGAGATATAATTTTATTTATAGTATAATCAAATTCATAAGCTAGTCAGTAGCCAAGTCCTGATGATTCATTATTTATTTATTTTTTGCATGAAATGTTCCTTTTTCTCCCCAGTTAGATTGTAGGAGCCCCTCCACTTCTAAGACAATGTTATGTACAAAGACAATATTCAATTAACTATTATTGCGTGATTTCTAAGGTTCCTTTCAACTCTCAAATCCTGTTTTGGACAATAAGATAGTCATCTTTATCTATCTAGTGTAATAAAGACCAGAGGCCTGATTCTAGCTGTGTGTCACCTAACAGTACTTCATACATAGTAGGTATTCAGTAGATGTCATAGTGTTCAGCATGTGTTAATTAGAGATACATTAAATGTTGAATATGCGTTGTACCTGAGCAGAGAAGGCGTAGATGTTTTGTATAATACAAAAACATGTCATCAGAGTAATAGTAATAAACATACTTTAATTTTTTCTCTCTCCAGTGAATTGAAGTCTTGACCACCAGTATCTATATAGACATATTTTAAAATAATTAGCGTGCTATAAATTTGACTTTTTTTCCCTTTTAGTTATATGAATTTTAATACATATATCCCTTTCCTGTTGTCACCACCATAGTCAGGATGTGGAAGTTTTATCATCCCCAAAAGCCTCCCTTAGGCCAGTCCAGAATAGTTACACCCTCGATAGATGTGATTTTGAGCTTTCAGTATTGAATGATGTACACTGTCCCTTTTAAATGTTTGTTTCCAGGTTTTCCTGTGTGAAAAATGAACTTTTGCCCAGTCATCCTCTTGAATTATCAGAAAAAAATGTAAGTATGTCACCACGGTCTTCATTTTTGTCTTTTGATAGCAAAACACTCTCAATAATACTTTTCGTGGTTTCATTTATTAAGACAGTCATGGTGTTACGTGAAGAACATGAGGACCTATTTTCATACTGCTTCACTGAAGTTCCCTTTCTACAGTTCTTCTCTGTCTTTTTTATGGGCCTCTCCATTCTTCTAATGATAACGTTCTCATTTTATGCGCCTGTTTTCGTTGATATTTTTCCCCTGCCGTTTTTGCCGTTAGCCTCCAAGTCTGTATCTCTAGCCTTGACCTTTCTCAAACCCGGCGTCTCCAAGTCACTGACGGACAGATCCGCTGGCTAGGCACAGGAGGGACACTGAGGAATATGACGTAATCCGCATCTTCAGGGAGCTGAAAATTTAATGGGAGGACAAGCAGTGGACAGGGGTTTCATAAGATGCTGGAGGGGCCCAAGGATGGCGCAGCCACCTGTGCGTAGGGGTCGTGGGAGGCTTTATGAAGGGGGGACATTTGAACGACGTTAGTATTCACGAGGTTAAGCAGATGATAGATGGGGAGAGCTCACTCCCAAAGAGCATGTAGCCTGTACAGATGTTCCGTAGACAGGTTAAAGGGTTTTTAAATACACCTTCAGAGCAAGAAAGAGATATTACTTGGAGAAGATGCCGCAGTGTTACCCAGTTAACAGAAAGCTGACGTATTCCTTTTTCTTTTTTCCTTCCTTCCTCTTTAGCAAGGGGAAAGTAATTTCTATGAGAAAGAGTAGAACAAATAATATAATAATGCAATCGAAGTTCAAATAAGATGAAAAAATAAAAAGTTCCAAGTCGCATCGAGTGCATTCTGGATTCGTGCTCGGAAGTTGACTCAAGAAGTCAGGTGTTTCTCAAAGACGAGGTTAGCCATAGAAAGCATGGGAATTAGGTTTATGGAAGAAAAAGCTGGTAAGGATACTTCATTTTGATGAATAACAACTGCATCACAGATGACAAGATAGAGCAAAGACTAGGCCACAGTTCAAAAAGAAGGGAAAGGCGAATGTGAAGTTCTGCATTTGGGTTCAAAAAATGAATTGTACACATTTGGAAGGGGCAGACTTGGCTCGTTACACAAGACTGGGCAATTTTAATTGCCCGCGGTCGGTATACTGTTGGTGCGTATGTTAGCCCCTGGACAGGACAGTTCACATGGGCCTGACCTCATCAGTAGGGTCGGGCTCAGATCGGGGGGTAGGGGGAGGTTTGTAGCGGGGGCGGGGGTCATGCCACGCTTTCCTAAGCATTAATCTGGCCACTGAATCTGGACTATTTCAGTTCTGAGCAGTACAAATCTTAGCAAAGGCCAAAATGGTGAAGAGTCTAAAAATTTTATGTCTTTGAGGCTCAGCTTACCTCTGCTGCCCCTGCGTTGTCTGAATCACTTAACCAGCTAGTGGCAGCCTCTCTTACTGCGTATTACAAGTCCTTTCGCATGGCAGTTTACGTGGACTCCGTAGGTTTACATTCTTGATGCCGTCCTTACTAAGTAGGTGAACTTGGGCAAGCGGCTTTCTCTCCGAGTATTAGTTCCTGCACCTGTAGATGGAGTTACACGTAGTGCAGCCGTTGGCGTGTGCTGGCTTGGAGCAGTTCTCCACGACCGTAGGTGAACTTGGGCAAGCGGCTTTCTCTCCGAGTCTTAGTTCCTGCACCTGCAGATGGAGTTACACATAGCACCTGTTGGCGTGTGCTGGTTAGGAGCAGTTCTCCACGACTGGGGACTGCAGTGGCGATAGTGGGGAAGGTGACCCTTGTCATCTATACCAGAGGTTCCTTGCTGAGGGTGACTGCCCCCCAGGGGACATTGGGCAATGTCTGCTTGTCATAAGTGGTGTCAGGGGAAGGGTCTTTGGTACTGGTATCTATTGGGTAGAGGCCAGGGACGCTGCAGAACATCCTATAATTCACAGGACGGTCCCCACCCACCGCAACAAAGACCTGTCTGGCTTGAGATGCCAGTCATGCCCAGGGGTGAGAAGCTCTGATTTATATGTAATGTCTTCCCAGCTAGGTTAGGTAAGACGTGAGGTATCACGTAACACATACAGATTATATATCGTAACATCATATAACTTGTACAGACTATATAACATATATAGTATCATTAACGTACAGGCCATATAACACATGTAATACCATATAACACAGGTTATATAACATGTAGTATCATGTAACACAGGCTATATAACATACAATATTATAACACAGGCCATATAACACAGGTAATACCATATAACAGGTTATATAACATGCAGTATCATGTCACATATAGGCTATATAACATGCAATATATAGCATACAGGTCATATAACATGGATCATGTAACAGGTTATATAACAGCATGTTAACATACAGGTTACATAATATGTGATATATACCACGTACAGGTCATATAACACATGTAGCATCATGTAACACATACAGGTTATACAACACAGGTAGTCTACCTCCAGGGCAGACTGTTGCTTCCATTTCGTTGTTCGTCTCCACGGAGCCCAAGTCTACTTTTGCCTGTGGTCACTAATAACTGGGTAGGCGTCGTTTGATAATTGCAGTGTGACATCACACTGCAAGGTGAGTATATTCATGAAAGTTCATAAAATTGAATTTTTGTACGTAACATTATATTTTGTTATGAGGATAACTCAATATTTAAAGGAGACCTTTCTATTAGAACTTCAGGTCACATACTCATAATAAAATATTGCACATTTTTCTTAAATATAGACAGAAATTTGGACCATCTGTCAGAATTTTGCTGTCAAGCTATAGTAGTTACAAACCTTATTGCTAAACATGCTACCTTCAAACTTCACATATATGGACCCTGGGTCATGTCCCAGGTGGGCACTGATTTCTCACTAGAGTTTTGATCAAAGTTACTTTTTCTTCGATGACTTAAAAAAATCTTCTTGAGAGTATAGTACAATAACAAGTGATCACAGAGGTACTTCACCTCATTATAATTACTTCAGCTCTGACAGATCTCTGTAGCAATCCGTTCACATCACAAACACCATCCTCAAGAGCCATTTGAGGAAGCTGTATGTTTTAGAATCTGTGAGTCAAGTCGATTTATTTTGCCTGAAATACATTTAATTATGGAAAGTTTTTTAGAAGTAATATCAGTGCTTAATTAAAGTATAATTTCGGAAAAAATTGCTTATTAGTTCCCAATACAAATTGGACAGACTTTGTTCAGCGTTTTGGGTCCCCCGAGCAGAACCTGTTATCCCCCAAAGTGGAGTTTAAACATTTTAAAATTAACAGGGTGCTATCTGGATCTGATTATTTCTTTATGAAATCCTTCGAAATATAAAGTTTCGTACTTAAAAGTTCACTGTTAGTTTTTGTCACTGTGTGTACCTGTTCCTGGGTCTCAGATAGTTTATACCTTTTCCTGGCACCACCAGTTTGGCAGTAATTTCTAATCAAAGGCACTGAGACGTGATTGTGCTTTGCGAATATACTTTTGCAATGTGAAAAACATTCCTTAATTTATTAGTTTTGTTAATCCAAGTTTTAGGTGATAGTTTTACACTGGGGAAGTATTATCTTCATGCTGGATGAAATACAGGCGTATGTATCCAAGAATTCATTGAAGAGATCCATAGAAGCACTTTGTTTTTATTTCGGCTACATATATTCAAGTTTTTCATCTAAGTATTTTATGTATATCAATGCTAACTGTTTCGAATGCGAATGTTGAGTATAGCGTCTAAAATTACATTGTCTTTTGTAGTTCCAGCTCAACCAAGATAAAATGAACTTTTCCACCCTGAGAAACATCCAGGGTCTGTTCGCCCCACTAAAACTGCAGATGGAATTCAAGGCCGTGCAGCAGGTGAGTGGATGCCGGTTCGTGTGCAGCCCACGTGCACGCTGCTGTCATTGGAACGCCTCTTCCGTTGGGTGACAGCTGGGCAAACCTTCCCTTCTCCCCTACAACCTGTGCTACTTCCCCCCTTTTTAGGATGTGACCCCGATTCCTACTTTATAGAGAAAAAAAAACGTTTTTCAGTGGAAAACTTCAAATTACGGGCTCGGTGTCCGAAAACTTGCCTGCCCCCACTTTCGTGGTTCTCCCTTTGGAAAGGGTCACCTTGAACTTGAGATGCCTCTGGGCCTGCCAGGTGGAGAGATCCAGCGGGCAGTTTGTGTAGCGCCGAGTGTCCCGGTGCTCAGGAGTCGTACGTGAGGACTGTCCCCACCTGGGCTCTGGATCCCGTCTCATCGCAGCACTTTGGGGACTTCCCCTTTCACGCTTCCTTTCCCTGGCCCATGTCCGCGGCCTCTGCTCGCTGGGACTCGGCCGCAGCCTTTACGCGTACTCCAGCCTCTGGCTTTTCAAACAAGAAACCGTGCCAGCCCCCAGCCCCATTACAGCAGCTTCCCTCTGTGTGGTTTTGCGAGTCGAGCCTCTTAAGGCTGCCTGCGTTTACTGCGTGGACCGTTTACACTCGGCCCCCGTGTCCTGCCTCCTGTCACACCGGTGAAGCTGCTCCTGATGATGTGGACCTTCTCACGCCCTCATTCCGCTGGGTGTCCCTGTGGCGTGGGACACCAATGGCGCCTGCCTTCTTCCCTTGAGTTTTAGGACACACACTTTCCTGATGCCCCCCTCGTCTCTGAAACCTGTCTCTGAAACCTCCCTCCCAGGTGTCTGGGTTCCTTTTGTTTTTTCCTGTTCCCTGAAATACCAGTTACTTACATCCTGCCTGTTCTTCTGGTGTTAGTTATCACTTAGATGTTAATGACACCCAAGTGTGAATTCTCACGAGCTGTAAAACTATAGGCTTCACGGATTAGCTCACCGTTTCTCACATACCCCGGTCCTGTATGACCAGGCTTCTTCCAAGAGGCCTTGGTTATCTTGCCCAGCACCTCACCTGTACCCCTACCCCGCAACATCCGGTCAGTCACCTCTTCTTACCGTTGTGACTGCACTGGTCGTTACCCCCGCTGCCCCCAGTCCACTGTCCATGCTCGAGCCAGAACCGGCTCTGTAAAACCCTGATCCATACGTCACTCCCCTCACTTGGCCCTCGGAATAAAGCCCATCCCGCCAGTGTGGCTCCGGCCACGCATTGCCGTCGCTCTCCACACCGTGTGACGTCGCCCGCTCCACCATCTGCGCTGTCCTGACTCATTTCGTTCTCTCACTTTTTGGCTCTTGTCTGTGTTCTCCTCCTACCGTGAATCTCTCTCTCTCATTTGGCCAGGGTTGTGTCACAATCACCTGGATGTGAATCTTGGCTCCCCCATCTACTAGCCTTAAGAACTGGAATCAGTAGAGACCTCTCTGAGCCTGCGATGGTTCATGCGACGTGAAATGGAGTTAGCAGTCGGATAGCGCGGGGTTATTACGGTTATTATGAAGAGTAAGGGAAATCCGTGTGTTCGCACACAATCGTTAGCTTCCCTTTTCTGCTCCTACTGCTCAGAGTCCAGCTACACGTCGCTCCTATTTTAAGCCTAAGCTTTTAATCCCATTGAATCCAAAAATCTTTGCCCAGAATCCTGGCCCGTTTTTCCTGATCCCTAAGCCTTCCTTGCGCGTCAGGATGTGTAACCAGCCACTGCCTGCGCATCCGGCTTCTCATGGTTCCTTAGCAGTGCGTCTGCTCAGACCGGACCTGCCTCGTCCTCACCGTCTGGTTTCACGTGCAGGCTCCATTTCTGTTTTCTTCCTCTTCCTCCTGTATCCTTCCCACTTTTTCCTTTTATTTTCCTCCTCCAGTTTTGACAATCTAGAGAAAATTTCCCATGCTGTAGGCCGTTAGTAATTAAAGACGTTTTCAGTCTGCACCCCTTCAGGGGTTTGCTCAGCCACAGTCCTTAGAACCCGGCGTGGCGTGAGGCTGGGGTTCCACATGTCATCACATGCTGCGTGCTGTGGTTTTCCCGGACAAGCGAAGCCCCCAACTATGGGCAAACCTTATAGGATTATTAAGTGTTCATGGAAGTACAGTTTCAGTGTCTTTTACAAGTTTTGAGCAACTTTTTAAAACTTGGTTTGGTTCTAAAATATGAACTGTTCCTCCTCCCACCCCCCCCTCCCCACACACTGGTTAAATTAATATTTAGTTTTGTGGATCTTACAGATAATGAAGTACGTAAAATTAGATCATACATTTTTTTACCTCTTAATTTTTTCTAATCTTGCCCTTTCAATACTTTTCCCGAAGGTTCAGCGTCTTCCATTTCTCCCAAGCTCAAACCTTTCCCTGGACATTTTGAGGGGTAACGATGAGACTATTGGATTTGAAGATATTCTTAATGGTAAGTGTCATTCAGCACCTTTTTCTGGAACCCCAGTAACATATAAGGCGGCGGCAGCAGACAAAGCTGAGCATCCTCATCCTCGTGTGGTGACTGCTGATTGGGTTCGCTGGGATATGACTAGTTTTTTAAATGACGAGAACAAATAAAAGTTCTCTTTAAAGAACAGCCCTGCCTCCAAATAATTTTTGTGCTTATATAGATGGTGAGTAGGAAAGAAGAATCTGTTATCTTTAACAAAATTCCTTGAATAATTGTATCATGTACGCGATACATGACTTTTAAGTAAGAACAATACATGCGTCCTCTATAAATAATAATGGCATCCTTTGTTTTTTTCTGGTTCTGAGGAAGGTAAACAAATTCCATTCTGCCCAGTATTGCCTCTGCTCATTATGCCTCAGCCGTTCAGAGAAACACAAAACCCAACAGGATTAAGTTATATTAGTTTTGCTCGGCCACTGGTGTTTGGTGTGGCAATGCTGGCCACAGCCGAAGTCCAGTGAGCCTGCTCTTCGGGAATCTTCCCCGAGGGACTGTTCAAATGTAGGAAAACCTGGCATTCCTAAGCTTTGACCCTGAACTTGGAGCTCATTTAAAGTTAGTGAGGGGAAGGTTCAAATCCAAATAGTCTTAGTTATAAAAATGTATTCACTTGAAAATCACTTTCTGCAATTCTGTAGAAAGAAAAGGGAGATTCCTGAGCCTTTCTTCAGTCAGTCAGTCAGTCGTTAGGTGTCGGGTTCCGGGATAGGCAGTGAAGAAACAGACATCTGTGCTTTCTAATAGAGGAGGTAAACAGATAAAACACAAACGATTATAAATTGTGATAAAATCTAGGCATGAAAAAGATAAGGATGTAGTTTGTTGCTGGATGGGAGAGGCAGGCATCTCTGGGAATATGGCACACTGATTGATTCCCGATTGGTATACGGGTTGACCTGGAGTAGAAGACTATTTCAGGCAGGAGGACAGCTGAAGAACTCTGAAGGGTTGAAGGTCTTATCCTACTTACAAGCTCACGAGTTAGCCTGCCATGGTTTCCTGGATGCTGGCAGAAGACCGGTTCATTACTGACAGCAGTAGCTGTCACCAGAGGGTCAGCTTTTCTCTCGGTTCCCTGAGCCCCCATTGTCACGGGGCAGCGAGAAGGGCATCAGGTGACACCTGCACACAGGATAGATTTGTTACGGGAACAGGATCCCACCCCAGGTCAGAGCAGCTGAGTCGGAGTGACACGCTGTCGGCGCTCAGCCTGCCCATTCTCCAGGGCGGACACCGTGTCGGGCTGCCGAGGCCGGTCCCCTTAGAAAGGGCCTTGGAGAGAGTCAGGGCAAAGGCAGGCAGCGCCCTTGCTGCGAACACTCGCAGAATCGTGAGAGGCCCGTGCAGAACCGTCTCCCGACACACGCGCGTGCTCAGGCCCCTGCGGCTGCGGCGTTGGGGAGGTGGACAGTGGGCTAAGGTGGGGGGTCGAAGGGGTGGGAGGAGCCGGAGCTCTGCAGGGGTTCGCTCGGAATGGGGCGGGAAGCCATCGAATGGTTTCCAGCAGTGAAGTGATACGATTTCACGTTTAAGTGGATCACTGTCTCGTGGGCATCTTTTTCTAGTCTTTGGCTGCATCTCTCTGAGGTAGGTGGATATGAGTTAGGGCCCTGACGAGGTGACCTTTGGCAGGCCGAGCCTCCCACACGGCACTTTGGGTAATGTCCCCTCGGGGGAAGTGTGCACATGTGGGCGCTTTACGGCTGCACCTCAGGGCCTTGCCTCCCTTAGCCGTTCCTTCTGCTTAGAGTATTTTTCCTCCTCCTTTGTCAGACCCTAGTTTAAATGGCACTCTTTCAGAGAGGCCTTCCGCGGCGACCAGTCTAAAGTAGCCCGCGATCACTCTGTCACCTCGCTTTAATTCTTCGCATAGCACTTATCTGATATTTCTCCTGTTTCTTACTTGTGTCCCCCAATTAACTACAGACCGCGCGAGCCCTTGCTCGCTCTCGTGTCCTGGTGCCTCATAAAGTGCTTTTTGTAGTGAGTGTTGAAAGCTCTCGCTCGTCACACTCCTCATCACCTTTGACCCACGAGGGACTTTGAAGTCTGTGATGAGAACGTGCATTTCTCCAGTGTGCATTTCGTAAAGTTTGGGAGGCGATGAGAGTTTGCTCGCTCGCTAGGAAGTGCTTGGCCCGGGACAGTCTGTACATTTCTTGAGTGGGGTGGGTGCGTGGGGAGGGCGACGGTGAAGGTAGAAAGCACCCCCCTTCCTCAGTGCCGGAAGGGGACTTCCCTTCGCTCCCTCCGCTGCCCGGGACCCGACAGCGAGCTCCTGGCAGAGCAGATGGCCCCGCAGGCCAGCGCCTTGCCACGTCTTCTGGGGCAAGTGATTTATCTAATAAGTGCTCACTCTATTGGATTTTAAAAGGAAGTGTTATCTAAATGAATATAATATGTTCTTCGTGTAAAAATTTAAAATATTAAAGGCGAAACTCAGGTCCTGCATGGTAACCGCCAGGCTCATTTCTGTCCCTCAGTCCCTGGTTACCTGCTGTTAGTGTGTGTCCCCCAGACTTTACTGTGTGTCTTCATGCAAACATACAGTCAGCAGATAGTTGGCATTGCTTAGCACCTGTGTGTTTGACACAGCTGGTATCATACCGTGTGTCTTACAGTGTGTATGATACGTCAGTAGTTTGTTGACAGATGCTTACGTTTTTCTCATTAACATGTAACAGGGCTGCAGCAAACACCTTTGCCTGTTTCTACTCATGTGCAGGCGTGTTTTTTTCACTTTAGATCTTGAATGTCTGTGTTAGTAACTGCAGCAGTATCAGTTGTTGCTAAGGCTACGTCGTTGTGTGACGAGTGAGTGTTGAGAGAGTATAGCTCGCTGAAGGTGTGGCACAGTCATCTCCAGTCTCTTCCAAGATGCAGCGAGGAAACATCCAAATCGATCCTTTAGTCGTGGTAATCAGTATTTTAATGTGAATGGTTAGTTATTTTTACAAACTGATTATACGGTTTAGTTCATTGGGTTTTTATTCCGTTTCTATTCCTACGTCGAGTAGTGGCAAAAACGAAGAAAGGCTTTATTTGCCCTTAGAGGCTTACCGTTGGTCTTAATTTAAAAGCTCTTTCAGATGTATTATCGCAGTTAAATTTGTTGTCTGACTCATAAAAATAAGAGTGAGGATTGTGAAGGTTTTCTCGCTCTAGAAGTCTGATTTATGTGTGTGTGTGTGTGCAGTAGAGCGCAGAGCGATAGACAGAAAACGTGTTTGCAGTTTAGGTGAAGACCTCGCCTCCTCTCTTCATTAGAGATTGTTCTAGAGTCCTCCGGGAAGCCAGTCAGGCCCCTCGCCCTCACCACCATCGTTCTGTTTGTTTTCTGTCGCTTCAGGCTCGTTTTGCCTGTCCTAGATGTTCGTGTGAGTTCAGTCATTACATTTATCTTTTTGTGAGAGTCTTTAACATGTCTGTTTTTGTTTGTTTCCAGACCCGTCACAAAGCGAGCTGATGGGAGAACCACACTTGATGGTGGAGTATAAACTCGGGTTACTGTAGCGCAGTGGCTGTCGCGAAAACGCAGGGGCCGCGGCACGTTTCTGGTCATCGTCTCCCTGTCCCTTCACGTACGCGATGTTAAAAGTCCTGGCGCGTGGGACTCGTTGCCTGCATAGCATCTGATCATTTGGAATTCTTCGGATCTTTGGTTTCTGGCCATGTGACAGTTTGAAAGCACTGGAGATGGTTTTAAATCTCCTGATTTATTTTAAAACGATAGCCTTCCAAATCTTTAAAAAAATTGTTGCTAATAAATACTCTAAAACCATCCTCAGATTCCATGTCAGCCAATTTTCTAGGTATTCCATAAATTTAATTTTGAATAATCATCCGTATCCGAGTGTGCGGTCTTCACAATAGCATCTTTCAGGGTAAACATCTATAGTTGATTTCACTGATGACACTCCAAATCAAGTACCTCGTTTCATTATAGTCCATTAGTGTTCATAAGAATCATTGCTTTATTGAAGCTACTTTGGAATTTGCTTTTTGATTCACTCAGGGTGAAAAGCATAAGTTCAGAGGTTTTGATTTAGGTCTTGTCTTTAAAGCGATAAAGGACCCAGCAGGTGTCAAACTGTTGTGCTGCATAGATTTAGATATTACAAGATATTTAAAATCATTAGAACAGTTATGTACACACACGTTTCCATGACTAAATGCCATCATAATTTATTTAAAAATGAATCTTCACTGTGGTTCTTTTATATAAGATATTATTTATGAACCTGGTTTATAAAACGTAAAGATTTTTAGATTTAATTAGTGAGTGGGTCATCTTTCACTAATTAAAAATATTTCTTAATTATCAATTTTCATTTGTTTCTGATAAGGGGTTAATATCCGGTAAGGAATTAATATTCAAAAACAACTCATACACCTCAATAAAAAAATAAACGACCCAATTAAAAAATGGGCAGAGGATGTGAATAGACATTTTTCCGAGGAAGACATACAGACGGCCGACAGGCACATGAGAAGATGTCATTGTCACTGATTATTAGGGAAATGCAAATCAAAACCACAGCGAGGGGTCACTTCACATTCTTGTGCATTCTTGTGTCTCCAGAAACATCTTTTTTGGATAAGTCATTGATTTGTAACTGAAGGCAATATTGCCCCTCCCTGCGGAGGCCTGGGGACATTTGACAATGTTTAGAAGACTTTTGGTTGTCACAACTTTATGGGATGGGGACTGCTCCTGGGATTTAGTGGATAGTGGCAAGGGACACTGTTCAACATCCTACAGCATTTAGGACATAGAGTTAGTTGAAAGTACTAAAAGAAAATGATATAAAATACTCCTAATTTATATTGAAACAGCCTTCTATGTCTTAAAGTTACTAACGAATATTGTAAAACTCTACATCCTGGTTTTGCTCCTGCAACCAAGAATAATTTGGGTTTGAAATGTCAGTAGCGTCAAGGTTGACAACCCTTGAGATAGTCCAAATGACACATTTTAGTTCCTCCTGACTGTCGAGATTAAGTTTAAAATCATGTTTGCTGATACAATATTTGCAAACCCGTTGTACACTCAAATTTTGAGAAAATAGAGAAATGATGAAGGCTTGCTGATTGTTTCTAGCATATTTTCTTTCAATTAATTAAGGAAGTTGGAGATGTCCTCTGTCCCTTCATTCTAGGAGTAACAGATACCCTTCTGGCCAATAGAGGCTTCCATGAAATTAATGACATAGTTTGAATGGAGAAGCTGGTGGGTAATCAAGAGTAATGCTTCTTTTCCAAAGGCCGTTCTGCTTCAAGCTCTCTCCTTTCCCTCTCTTACCGTCTTTCTATTCACGCCAGCGATCCTCATCCCTGGATGCACGTAAAATCACCTGGGAATCTTACGAAGAAATTTTGGTGTCACGATCTGAATCTCGGGAGTTCGAATAATCGTAGTCTAGGGCAGGTCCCAGGAAGTGTACTTGGGAAAAGCTCTCCAGGGTCGAGAACCTCTGATATAGATGTTTGCTTTCTCTGCTCGCTTTTGCCTTTATGTTAGCGACATTCTTTAGCATCGATTAATTCTTCCGGTGTAGACCTCAGTGCTGACAAGTTAGCTGCTGTGCCTTGATCTCTGCGATCTGCACTGTTTGCTTCCGGTCGCTGGAGAACCGGGTGGAATTCTGCTTTGATTTTAACTCAAGACGTAGGCCAACCTTTTTATTTGTTTTTCTGTATTATATAGAAATCTTGCAAGACATAAACTGCATTTTCACCAACTTTTTATTTCGGAAATTTTCAAAGCTACAGGAGGTGGGGACTTATTTGGGTCCCTTCATAAGAGTCAGTTGCGGGTCTCTCTGAGTTACTTTCCTAGATGCCAAACTCTTCAATTAGGCTTTTTTTTTCCCGTTCAGATTTTATGATTTTATCGAACTATTAGTTTAGTATCTTCATTGTGTCTGTTTTGCTTGTAAAATACTAATCTTTGGGTTCAAGAGGAACATCAGATTGGGGACTAATTAAAATTCTTTTTATTAACACTAAGATAATAAAATTTCACAGTAAAAGAGAAACGTACGTCATGAGGGTCCAGCCCAATTTCATATTCATCCTTTTAAGGTATATGAGAATAAAGGAATTCGCGTGTTTTATTATCTGGAAGCGTTTGGGGTTTGGCAAAAACTTGAGCACTATTTGGCGCATCATGTGGCTTTTCCACTAAACACACCTCTTCACTCCCGCCCTCTGCAAAATATAAGTGATAGGCTTGTCACTGTTCATTAGTTTTGCCCTTTGCGGCGGGTGTCCCCCGTGTTTATGCGTTTTGTTACTCCTTTGAATGCAGACATTCAGGAAAGTGAAGGATGATCCGAACATGTAGATGACTGAAAAATGGCAAGACCATTTCATATATAATCTTTCACTGATCTACAGTTGGTTAAAAAATTTTTTCAAACATGAAATCTAAGTATAACTTCTGACTCGCTCTTTTAATAAAGCAAAACCCAAAATGCCGTGACCCTTTATTGGATTTGTTTAGCTCATGATTTCAAAATTGAAATTCAGGTTTCTTCACGTACAGCAAATGCTTAATTAAGAACCTGTACTTTTAGTTCGTTTTATCATAGATTCTTAAATCATATTAAAGAATGAGAGAACATATTGTTAGTTTTTTTAATAGAATTTCAGCAGGTTTTTTTTTTTTTCCAATCGAAAAAAATGTAAGGGACTTTAAATGCTTTTTCTTTTAAAGGTAAAAATTTAGCGTTTGCTTCCAGACGAATTTATTTCTGGAACCAGTAGACGTGCTTTGTGAGTTGTACTCTGTCTTTTTGCGTCTTTTTAGTGTCTTGACCTTGTGGAGACAGGAAAAGCTATATTGTTCATCTCCGTGATGAAATAGAGGTCACGTAGAGGATGTGGCTTTGGGTCATTGAAAGACCAGGTGGAATTATGCTTTAACTTTGGCTCGTCTAGCTGTCCTTTGGAGAGATGGATTGATTTTTAACTCAAGACTTAAACCACTCTTTTTGAACTTAGAGAAAAACTGAAATTTTGAACTTAGAGGAAAACCGAAAGAACAATATAAAGAACACCCAAAATATCCTTCCCGTAGATTCTCCACTTATATATCTTCTCTGATTTCCTCCGGGGTAGATTCAGGGTACACGTTTTTGTCTAAGAAATCTACAGAGGTGGTGACATGGGCTGCTTACTGTACCGCGTGGGGTGCCACACAGGTTAGGGCATCCCGTCGATGGGTGTGGCCAGGTGCTGTCACTCGGTTGACGGTGGTGGCCGCCAGAGCTCTCCTTTGTCCAAGTACAGTGTTCCTTTTGTAATTAGTAAATGATCTGTGGTGTAATCACGTGAGACCTTGTGCATGTCCCCAAGAACCTTTCATCCAGAAGTGTTAGCATCCATGAAAAATCTTTGCCTCGATCATTTATAACATAGTCGTTGGGACGGGGAGGGCTGAAAAAGGTGATATTTCATTATCCTACATTTATTGGCTGACAAGTTTTATAAATCCAGATTCCCCCCAATTTCTCTCTCTCTAAGGTATCCCTATGGTCTCATAAACTCTTAATGTTTTATAGTCCGTTTCTGTCACTGCTCTTTGATGCCCTAAACCTAGTTGTTTTAATGAACGCATAGACCTTCAGTTTGAAAAGACATTGGGTTTAAAGTTAATTTAATTTTACCAGTAATGGTACTAACGGGATTTCACAGCGTACTGAATATACTTGCAATACATTAACTCTCACCATTCTCATAATCGTAGTTGTCATAGAAGTTATCACCAAGGAAGTACTATGTTAGCCACAGGGGACACTGCTGGCCGTAACACTACTGACGCTTTGCCCGGTCACGTGAGAAAGCCATCGAGACAAGCAAGGACCAACACAAGACAAGGACAGCCACAGCCTTGCTCCATTCTGTGCCTTGGCCCTCAAGCAGGCACTAGATTATGAACATTTTAAGAGGAGACAGAGGGACCAACCAACAAGGCACAAGATGGGATGCATTGTTCTTTTCAAACTTTTTATTAGGGAAAATTTCAAACATCCAAAAGTAGGTAGAAAAATACAATATAATCTCATGTTGCCATCATCTCGCTTTCATAATTTACTCATGGTCATCTTGTTTCATCTATACTTTTCCCCCACTTTCTCCTCGATATTATTTTGAAAGAAATTTCAGGCCTCATTCCAATGTGTAAATATTTCAGTTTATAAAACTAACATAGCCACGATACTGTTATTATCAGCCCGAAGTTAACAATAATTCCTTATAAGTAAATCGAGTCAGTATTCAGATTTCTGAAGGTCTAATAAATGGCTTTTTTTTTTTTTAGCTGTTTTGTTTGAATCGGGATCCAAGTAACTTATACATACTGATTAGGTTTTGTGCCAGTTGTCTCTTAATTTGTGGGCTCTCCCTCTATCTCTCTCTCTTTCTTCTTCTTTTTTGTTCTGTTTTGTTTTGTTTTGTTTTGCTATTTGTTGCAATTTCCCAGTCTACGTTTTGCTTCTTATGTCTTTGTGGTACATAGTTGAACATGTTCTCGCCTCTGCATTTTCTATAAATTTCTAGTTGAATCTACAGACTTGATTCAGGGTTACTATTTTTGGAAAAATCACTTTATAGGTGGTATAGGTGGTACGTACATCATAAAAAGACACCAAATGCCTAACGGGCCCTCATCCTGATGTCGTGGCCACTGATGCACAATGCAAGGACCCATTTATTTACTAGGGGTCGCAAAATGACGATTCTAAATCTGTCATTCCCTCTTCATTTTTAGCCATTATACTTCTG